GTGCAGAATGCAATGGCAAACTTGCAAGAGGAACAAAATAGAATAGAAAAGTACATGAATAAGGTGGGATTTATTTAATTGTAAAAAAACATTTACAATTAGAATTGTTTAGAATTAATAGCTTTTCCAATGAATGCTTTAAAACTGAGTAAGGGGGTCAGATTTACAGTTCCTAAAGTTATTTGCTTAACAGTCAGATCTCTTTACCATTGGTTCTGGCAGACAAAATCCAAATAACTTGTATCTGATGAGCTGTTGCAGCATAAAAGGACTAACAAAGTTTCATAACCTTCATATTGGGTAGAGCAAACAGCAGAGGATATGGAGGAGAACAAAAGGGGGAAAAAAAACCTAGGATAACCACGGTACTTCTAGCTCCACCTTACACAAGAACTCTCACAAACTTTATCCAAATTGAGCCATAGGTGCATTTTGATTGTGGACTCTGACAAGGATGGAAAAATGCCTACTTTCCCGGATAAACTTCATGAGCTGACATAAGTCACAGAAGGATACCTGGTACTGTTTTGTGTCTCCCAAGACACATCTGTGGCCTGAATATTGTTTGTTTATACATGGAATACGAGGAAGATATTTAAAAATTTTATGAGCTTAGATGTAATAGGTTCCACTGAGAATTTTTGATCAATTGAGCATATTGCTGGTGCAATTGCTTGCAGAAATATCCTTAAGCAGCCTGCAGGGAATATCAGCAGGGAGATGAATTCACTGCTATCAGGACTCAGATAGTGCAAACTTGGCTTTTTCAGCAACCTATTGCCCCAGCTTCTTTTCTCGGAGGACTAACTAGGTGGGAGGGAGCATATTGTCTTCCCTTTGAGCAATTCATGGCCTTCACGTAGTATGTCTGAGGGAGTGCACTTTGCTCCAGAACAGACACCAGGATTCACTGGGTTGAGCATTTGCATCTGGCTCCAAATCCAGACAACCATTAGTTGGCAGAAAAGAGATCTAGAAAATGGATAACTCATTGCTGTCATCTCATGCTTATCTGGATTTTTGCAGCCCAGTTTCGGTGTGTTAATTTCACGGATGACCTAGTTATGAGTGCTATGGGAACCTAACTTTAATTCATGTATTTCATTTAGGTTCAGCTATAAATGACAGAAGCAGTAGATCTACTTCAATCTGTATTCAAAGAAGCACGATTGCAGCTTTCTTAAGAAAGATTAAGCAAATTATAGATTTTCTGAGTGATTTTTGTGACATAAAAATGTACAACAATTTTATTTCCTTTTTGCAGATTGGCTGGTAATCAGCTGACGGATATGGATAATTAGTGTATTAAATGCTTAAAAGGGGGTAGTTCATATCTGTACCTCCTTAGAAAATCTAGGATAATTTGTTATTTCCCTCTTCATTATATTGTTTTACACTATTGTACCGTTTGGCATTCACTTGTAGAGCTGTACCTTTGAGTTCTATGGTATTGGGTAGGTTGGTATTGGGTAGGTTTCCCTACCCAATATGGTATTGGGTAGGTTTCCCATCTTAATTTCCTTTTTAGAATCAGTACTTCGATTCTCACCGCCTCAAGGTTGATTCAGCGTTCTATCCTTCTGAGGTCGGTAAAATGAGGACCCAGATTGTTGTGGACAATATGCTGACTCTAGCACTATGGAACGGTATATAAGTCTAAGTGCTATTCCTATTATATTAAAGAATTTTATAGCCTCATTGAAAAAAACAGAAAGACAAATATTAATAATATTTTATTTTGCAGTTGCATTTTAATTTGTTTTCCTACGTAACATCCCATTTTTTAAAATTTCCCCAAAGAGCAAGACATGCATTTATTTAATGGATAGAGAGAGAGGTTCACAGTCAGACTATATGGTTGTAAGAATAGATCGGTTCATTGTGCAATCTTTTGATAACATGTGGATTTTGGCCTTCTATTAGAAACCGTCAGCATAATCTGATTCAAAAGATCATAACGCTGAGGCTTTTTAAGGTAATTAATTGGTGGGCTGAAAATAGGATTTTAATGCTTTGCAACCTCTTTGTTTCCCAATATAACTTTTCATCAACATGCTTTAAATGTAATAGGAAAATTTAAAAACAAATTAAATCACCCTATGAAGAGCTTGGTCTAGTTCTATAGTTGTTTGCTTTGAGCTCCAGGACCTATAGGTAGTCCTTCACTTACGACCACAATTGAGCTCAAAATTTCCATTGCTAAGCAAGGCAGTTGTTAAGTGAGTTTTGCCCCATTTAAATGATCTTTTGCGCTACAGTTGTTAAGTGAATAACTATAGTTTTTAAGCGAATCATGCAGTTATTAAGCAAATCTGGCTTCCCCACCGAGTTCGCTGGGAAGGTTACAAATAATGATCTCATTGCCAGTTGCCAAACACCCGAATTTTGATCCCATGACCATGGGGATACTCCAACAATTGTAAGTGTGAAAACCCTTCATAAGTCACTTTTTCAGTGCTGTTGTAACTTTGAACGGTTACTAAACAATAGTTGTCATTTGAGGACTGCCTGTATTTCTATCTGGAATCCTATAAAGAAACTTTCCAATTTTTTTGCCACAGGCATTTCAACCTTTATTTATAGACATTAAAAATACAGGTGAATGGTTGCAATAAGATATGCAGGATTAAGACTGATAGTTGCAAAACCATTTCTCACTAGCTTACCTAGGAATACATACAAGGGTATTGTGAACCTCTTGGGGATTTTCAACCCGTGACCCTATTTTTTTTCTAACCTGTCAAAATGAGTGGTGTACTGCAAGTATATGCCATACAAAATTACATTTTAAGAGAATTGTCAACTTGTGGATTTTGGAAATGATTATTCCAGGTCATCATGATATTGAGAGAAATAAATAAATTCTGGTATTCCTTGAAAAATTACACTGCAGCTAAGTAATTTTTCACAAATGAAATGAGAATGGATTCTTTCAGTTAAGTGGGTTCCTGTGGGTTAGATATATGTTTCATCATGCTAAAGGCACATTTATGACATTCATTTATGTACTTGTGTTTTTTCTCTCCTGCAGTTTCTAATATATAACAGGATGTTGCAGGTGTTTTTAGGGTACACATGCAGACAAATTTATTCTGTCCTATAATTAGGAATTAAGAATTTATGTACTTAAAATATAATTTCATTGCTAATACCTATTGTCCCATTGCATTTATCCATGATTCATGGTATAACCATCTTTTTCTACCATATTGGTGCTATATTTTTAAAAGGAGCTTTTATCTGCTCAGGTAAAAGTGATTCTGTATTGCCAGACTACTTTAATGCAGAATTACTTTATGTCATTCATATTTCTAATGCACAAACTGTCTCTGTGATAACTATACCCCAAATCTCTAATCATTTTGAGTTATATACATTATATACAATTTGGATAGTTACTTATTTTACACATATTTGGTCTTTTATTACAGTATGAAGTTGAAACTTTTTTTTTATCAGTGGTAGGGGTATCAAAAGCAAAAAAAACCCCAAAACAAATAGGGGTATAGAAAGGGTGAAATGGGATTGCAATCAGTGTCTGTAAGTATAGACATTGGGAGGGCAGAGATGACAATTAGAAGTAAAAAAAGTTCAGATAGCAACAGCAATACCACTTATATACCACTTCACTTATATACCACTTATATACCACTTCACAGTGCTTTACAGCTCTCTCTAAGCAGTTTCAAGAGTCAGAACATTGCCCCCAACAATCTGGGTCCTCATTTTGCCAAACTTAGAAAGTTGGAAGGCTGAGTCAACCTTGAGCTGGTCAGAATTGAACTGCTGGCAGTCGGCAGAATTAGGCTGCAATATTGCATTCTAACCACTGTGCCACCACAGCAAGCCATCATAATCATTCAGGTCCATTCCTCATGGCTTATAGAAGATCTTTAAAGACATCTTTATTCCCAGGATTTCCAACCTTAGCTAAGTTTTATTGGCATCCATCTCACAAGAAGGTTGCTTTACTACTATTGAATTATTATACTGCAAGCAACCTAGAACTAAGGAGAAATTTCCTGACAGTTAGAACAATTAATCAGTATAACTCTCAGACTACAGGTAGCTCACAGACACATTCCACTACTAATAGCAGAGAAGAAAGGGTGGGAGGGGAAACAGAAGGGGGAGGAAATTAAGAAAATGGGTTATGCCTGCAGAAAAACCTTTTCTGTATAAGGCATTATACAGAAAAGCTATATAAGTCTGGAAAAAGATTTGGCTGTTTTACTGATTTTAAGGGAGGTGCTTCATACACACTCATGTTCACTGCAAAGCAATAACAGTAATAATAATAATAATAATAATAATAATAATAATAATAATAATAATAATAATAATAATAATAATAATAATAATAATAATAATAATAATAATAATCATTTTCATCTGCTGGAAAAAGATTCTGACAATCTGTTGAACTGATTACTTAAGTCTTTTTCATAATTAAAGCCTTATATTTAACCTCATGACTAGCTGGTTTTTGCTTTGTCTCCCTCCCTTCCTAATGCAAAAGCTTTGAAGTTCCTTGTTTTTAATGTATCTGAGGTGAGCCCAGTTCTGTAGTCTAAATAAATGTGAATGTATTTCAGATAACCAAATGTTGCAATTGGCAGTACAGCCTAATATATCATCCATAACAATGCTTTCAATTTACTTGCATTTGTAGCTATTATAATTATTGTGAAGGATAGAGTGTGCCTATCTTGACTATGATTTCTTGTCTCTTACTACTGTAATTAACCATCTTATTTAGAATTGCTTTTTTAAAAAAAAATCACCTAAGCTCATTTAACAACATGACCAAACATTTCCCAAATGCTCATATGGCAGCAGATCATTATATACAACCTGGAAATATTACTGGAGATGTCAAACTATTAAAATTCAATCAAATATTGCATTTATTGCAAAGCCAAACAACTTTATAACCTGGGTATCTCTATGATGACATATTTGGAGTGTTAATTATTTCTGCTTGTTCTGTTTAATTACAGTTTGAAAATGAGATAATTACAAAACTGGATCATGAAGTAGAAGGTGGAAGAGGAGACGAACAATATAAAGTGTTATTTGACAAAATGTAAGCGCTCTTAACAGTTGGATTTATAATGATTAATTAACATTTGTTGATACAAAATATTTCAAATTAGTCTTTCATGAAGGAACTGTTCCCAAATTTGATTAATAAGATTTTTTTTTTACTATTACTTTTTCAGTCTTTTAGAACACTGCAGAAAACATAAGTACCTTGCCAAAAGTGGTGAAACTTTTGTTAAACTTGTGGTATGGCTGATGGAGAGACTTCTAGATTACAGAACTATTATGCATGATGAAAACAAGGAAAACCGGATGAGCTGTACAGTCAATGTCCTGGTGAGAAATGAGACAGTTATATGTGGAAGAAAAAAGAATTCTATATGACCTCCTTTTTCTTAGGCTGCCTAATGTTATGACTATAATTAAATGGATAAGATTCTGCCCGTTGGATATTTCACAAAAAAAGTAAAATTTGAGAACTTCTTTTTCTTCTTTAAAATTGGTGTTTATGTTACTTTAGAAATGGGGATTAGACAAACCATCATAAATTAAATATATGATTCTGTTTACACCATCATTATTCATCTAAGTAAACTGCAAATAAAAGGGGAAATGTATGATGATAAAATCTAACTTTGGCAAAAGAGCTTGATTGGTAAATTATGCTGCATCTTAAAAGTATATTGTAGTCAATTTTGTTAGATAGATTTAGGGGACTAAAAAGTCTGATAGGTTGATCGGAACGTAAACTGTTAATGCCTTGGTTTACTGCAATTTTCTAAAAAATAAAAATAAAAGATAAATTTAAGAGTATAAATGGAAAGCATAACTTCAAGCCAGAAGAAACCTGACAATTAAAACTTTAAAAAAAATCAAATAGCATGGTAACCAGATATACTGTTGATTTAATTAAATATCATCTCTGCATTTAATTGTCAAGTCTTTTCCTTAGTGTCTCAAGGCTGCCATGATACAGGAAAATGATCCATAAATATACCTATACAGAATGAAACAGAAATCTCAGTATCTTTAACATACACAGTAAACAGGGCATGAAGTTTTTAAGAAAGTCTATTGGCTTTTGTTGACATGGAATATCTGTCAGAATCATTTATTATGGTCTTCCAGGAATTAGACCACTAAATCCCTGCAAACAGTCACAAACCCATGGGATCAGAACAGCTTCAGAAGCTCTTTACCTGTCATCCCTCTTGTGGA